TTTTTCACGGTTCAGAGACCAGAACTGCACATACCAATTATGTGTAGATGGGCAAAAAATTGATTTGTTGAGTGCCATATTTGTGTTTTATGGTTTGTTCTCTGTTCCTTTCTTTAATAATTCCTGGAATTGCTTTTCTTTTTTTACCTTATCTCAAACTGTGTGCTGATAGTTTAATGAAGCTATGAATCAAAACACTGAAGTCTTGCTGAGCAATATTGATGACTTGAGAGGACATTTATATATGAAGTTGAGATTGCTTTTCCCCAAGAGATAGATTGCTTTGTGTTTACCTACATTTAATTGTATTTGCTGTTTTTATTGTCCAGTTAGTCTCATAAGGATCTGTGATTCCATGCAGTTCGCTGTTTTCTTTGGTATTTTAAATAACACTCTAGCATCAGCAAACTTTCAAGTCACTAAAACTGATGTCTTGATCTTAAGCACAAAGGCACTGCTTGCTCTGGGCTTCTGGAATCCAGTGGTTAATGGATTATGGGTTTGGAATTATTGAGCAAGCGACATCTTTTTAGAGTGCTTCTGCAGAAGTTTGAACTGTGGACACTATAAATGTAGAGAACTCTATCTCTTAGTATGTAGCTTATTTCATATCCCAGACATTAAGTTGTGGGTGACACTGCTGTCTTGCCTGCAGAGTCTTGGGGGAGTTCTGAATCTGTGTTTTACAGGGGGCTGAAGAGGCTGTATATTGTAATCTTTTCTTCGCAGTTCTGCCTTTTGGGACTGTGTAAGTGACCTAAAAATGTCATTCCCTAATTATATGGGCAAAAATTGTCAGCCTAAATATATCAAAACTAAAGAACTTGTACAAATAGAAAGTGAAAATGTACTGACTCCATGCTCTTAGATGTGACTATTTTGTATATTCTGTATTTTGAGTATTTGATGTTTAAAAAAATACTCAGTATGCTCAAATTTTAGGGATCTATTGTTTCTGTTTTTCTGGAACTCTTAAAAGATAATTCTAAGATTATTTATTATTTTCTTAATATTACACAATTTTTAATAGATCAAGCTGCTTAATACCTCTTGATACTTTGTATTTTCAACTAAAGGCAAAAGGCTAATACCTTCTTGGCTGTTTAACCCACTCTGACCTTACAGGCATAGGAAACTATTTTTTGTACCCCTGTAATTGAGCCTTGCTTTTGTGACAGCAATATTAGAATAAATAAGCATATTAAATAATGGATGAGATTAAAATAATCAGAGTAAGAAATCATACCCTCCCCCTCCACCCCCCTTCAGTTTTCATGTTTCTAAAGAGTGTATAAGAGTAACCCTGAAAGCATTTCATGTTGCCTGGGTGGATGTATCATATCAGTTTACAGTAAAGAGCAGAGCCATGCTATTGGGCAAAACACTTTTAAATTATTATTTATGGAGTTGTATTTGCAATTGGTATAAAATGCAGGACTGGTTTCACATGCCTCCACCAGAGCAACGAGAGCTCGCTTCTGAACAAGATTCTCTTTTGTTTCCTGTACTATGTGTGCTGTGGAAAGAGAGACGTCTGGGAAAGGATACAGGTTAGAGCAAATAGTTACATTTTATTTTAGGAATGCAGTCTTTCTATCTGATATTTTGAGTTTGTTTTGGCTTTTTTCCATCCTGATTTATTTTATAATTGATAGTGTAGTGCTCGCATTAATCAAATGTTTTCCAGTAATGTCTTGTGTCTGTTGGTAAATGAGTATATTTTTAGTATCATGATATGTGGGACCTCCTTTTAGTGTTAAGCTTCTACTTCACTCTTTTTTTCTGTTGTTTGGGGTTGGTTTTTTTTTTTTTCATTTTTGAGGTGGGAGGAAGTGTGTGTAAAGGGAAAGGAAGTCTTCAGTAATTCCTTCTTTCTCCCTAGAGCAAAATATAAGCTACAGTTTTATATGCAGTATTTGCTTTTTGAAACAATAGTGAAATAGTATTTTTAGCTCTCATTTGAATCATTAGTATTGGGTGCTAATCTTCAGAAGGCTTCATTTGGCTAGTGAGCGTTTTATTTCTTATTTTAAAATTTACTGTCGGGCAGAGACGAGCTTATTGTTGTTTCCTAATACTGTGTCTTCCTAAGGAATGTGATGGTGTATTTTAGAAGTATAAAGGTAGTCTTTATCTGCACTATTGAGAAATTTAGTGAAGTAGGGCTGTTTCCAGTTACAGTTCAGCAATGTCTTCTGTTTACAGTGCTGAAACCCTGTCTGCTTTTTCCTTCCTGGAGAAGGAAGGAGGGGAGAAATTGGCACTGAGAGGTCATAAATTCACTTTAAGAGCATGAGTGAGCATTGCTTTTAGAACCTGTAATGCTAATTAGTGTCTTCTCCTTATTTTAAGTTAAGTGGGACTTGTTTGTATCTCTTTCTCAGCTTTTAAACTATAATTACACAATCTTCTTTCAGTAAGAAAGTAACTACTGGAGCTTAGTTTCTCTGGAAGAAGAACAGGAAGAGCAGTGCCTAACCCTCCTTGTCCTCTAAGTATCTTTGAAGTGTCTGGAACGGTGGTTCTACCTTTGAGTTTTGGTAAATCAAAAATAGTGATTTTCGGTGTCAAATTTATGGATATTTTAAAATAATGCTGTGATGAAACAGGATTATATTTCATTATTTTGTTTATTTTCACTTATTTACATAACTTTGCTATGTAGATGCTGGTTTTGGAGCGAATACTGTTGCATGTTTTCAGGAATACTTCTAAAATGTGCATTTTTAAAAAATCCATTACAGATGAGAAACATTTGACTTCACAGTCACTGATGACCTCTGTGATCTATTTGAAAGAGTATAAATGGTTTGTACTGTAAAAGCTAATTTTAGCCTGTATTTCTTCTTGAGACTATACATCCAGTGGCTTATGTTACTATATTAGTTGCTATAATAAGCAGATCTCAGATGTATCGATCTTCTACTGTGCATACAAAGATGATGTGTGCAGTGTGTATCTGGCACATTTTAAGATGTCAGCCTTGATAAATGTGCTCTGTAGAGGTGATAAATGTGTATTGCAAATGGCCAGCACTGGGTGTCTGCATGCCAGCTGGAGGTACTGCCTCATCCAGACTGCCAGGCAAGGTTGTCAAGCTCTGCCCAGATGTATGATAGTCACATCGTTGCCAGTACTCTAACCTTCATTTTATCACTTGTTTTCTAGCTCTATGAGCTGTTACAAATGGTGTGGCTCTGCTTTACTGGATTTGTTTTTTCTTAGAGGTAATTTTTTAAATGCAGTCAACTTCACAACAAGCTGTGCACTGAAAACTCATTTGATTATTTCTAAAGCATGCTATGGACAGCTTTTTTAATGTAGTCTGTACGTCAAAATATCATTCGAAAGTAATGATGCTGGTTTTACTAAACAACTCTATCATCTTTGGTCTTTTCAGTTTTAGTTTTCAGTTGAATAAGATCAAAAGCACATGTAAGTGTTCAACTCATAAACATGAAAAAGGCAAGAAATGTAAGTGTGGCAACTTGGTCCTACCTGTAAATATTAGCATCTGCTTCTGGAATCTAGTAGGCAGTTGTACCACTTAAAACTGTGTGTATAGCAAACATAGTGCCTTCATGGGGCTTTTCTGGTTTAGGTTTTGGTTTTCTTAGGAGTGTTTAATTTCTAATTATCTCTCAGTTATTTAATCTTCTGTGAAGGCGTTTTGATTACTAGTAGCCGTATGGCAGGACTGATGCATTTTTGACATTCTGATGATGAAACTGCAACAGCAAACAAAGTTTTCTGTGTCTGTTCATGCCAGTTTCAGAGCTAAAGGGAATCTGGAAGCTATAAACAAATGTTTTCAGTGTCTCAAAATGAAACTTCCTGTTGCTTCTGTTAACAGCACTTACGGATCTGAGGATACAAAACTCCTGGAGTTTTAATGACCGATGAAAGTCAGACTTGAAATATACTTGGGTGCAGCTGAGGTGCTAATAGGGAGGAAGGAGTGTGTGTTAGTGTACAGTGTTAATTTAATTAGCTGAAATTAATTAGTACTCCTGATCACTGTTTCTGTGTAGTACATCTCATGTCCTCAGTCAGTAGTCTGCTTTTTGTGCCTTTGAAATATTTCACTTTTTAAGAGATGGAAACAACTACTTGTGTTTCGTGTTTCTGATCAGCCACAGGATATAGGACTCAGATAAACATGATCACTTATTTCCACCCAGAACCAGTAAGACTGAAAGGAGAGTGGAAGCTTTGTCCTCTTAATCTTCCATCCTGTATCTTTTGACTCGGGGGAGATGAAGAAAACAGCTGCCAGCTATCCCACTCTTGCAAGAGGGGAGAAGGTCCCGATATGACTTGTCCTTCTGGTAGTCTGTGCTCCAAGTTATGGCATCTAATCAGTCTATCCTGTTTTAGGTTGTCTTCTCGTGAATATGACTAGTATTAAATGTTGTAAAATCCCATGTGTTTGCTAACGTGATTTTTAATAATAAATGATTTCAAGGAATCTAAATTGTTCAACTTAATTTAATTTTTATAAGATACTTCTTTCTCTGCAACTGCTGTTACTCTCTCAGTACTTTAGTTACCAAGCTGGTGGTAATCTTTTCTCAGATCCAATGTTGTTGGTAGTCAGGCTGTTGCCTGAATACTCCCACGGTATTTTCCTTCCCACAGTCGGAAATAAAGAACGTTGCTGCCCTAATAAGCCTTTCTTTTGCTAGCTAACAAGTGAACTTGGTAACATGGGTCACTTAAAATATCTTCTGATCAGTGCCATTTGTGGACAGAGAACTGGAAGAAAAATATTATTTGGAGTGGAGCTGTAGGAAATGCTTAGTTCTTGGTAAAAAAATCCTTTTTAAAAAAATCTAAAACCATTGGTCAGTCGCATGCATTCTGTTTGCCTCTAATTTGTGGTCTTTACTGCTATTCTGGATTTCTGGTCTTAAATAGGGCATTATTTAATTAAAAAAAGACATTGCTTTTCAGTTGTATTTTACATTTAAATTTTCTTTCTTTCTCCTTGTAGATTTGTTTGTAAATGCATCATAAACAGACAGCCCAGAATGAAGAAAGCAAGCAGGAGTGTTGGCTCAGTGCCCAAAGTGCCTGGAGTAAATAAAACTCAAACAACTGAAAAAGCCAAACCAGAAAACGGCTCCTCAGTGTCTGCAGTAACAAAACTCTCCAAAACAGAGACATCAGCATCTCTTTTGAAGGTAATAACCAATAGAACATTCTGATTATTTATATTTTTTTATGGTAAAGCTTCAAAAATACCAGAATTTTAAGGCATGTCTTTAATGCAGCTTAGACTAGAGGTTTGTTACATGGGTAACTGGAGGGGAATTTGGGTATTTACACAGCTCTGGCCAGGGTATTAGGACCTTGACTGGGATTTGTGCTGTGTTTTTCATGTTGCAATGTGCGATGTGATGGAAAGCAATATACTTTGTGGAACTTGGCTATTCTGCAAAAAGAGCAGAGTGGAAGTTGTATTCTGATGAATGTTATTAGTAGTGTCATGTTATGCTTGAATGGTGCGTCAGCGACTAATGGGATTTGATAAGAGCTATTTACAAATTGTGAAAAAACTAATGAGGTTTCTAACATGAGAAACTTTTTGATATCAGTGATCCATGTCAGGTCAGTGCAGCTGCATTCTTGTAGCTGTTTTGGCCTTTGCTTTGTGTCAGGTACTGCTTTAGCTGAGTTTTCACAAGTTGATTCTTGCTCCTAGAACGAGTTCAAAGGTAGAGGTTTTCTCTTATATGAGCAAAATAGGGCAGTAAATTTAGGAGTATATGGTTTTCAACAACCAAGTAAAATAAAACATACCAAGGTGTGCTGGTGTGGAGTTTTCACCTGGGAGCAAACACATCTCCCTCTCTTGGCATGGAAACATGGCTGGACCCATCTCCTTTTGCCTTTCTGCAGCTCGGTATGCAGAGCTGTGGCTTTGCTGCTGCAGTCCTGGAGCAAATGAGCAGAACAAGGAAAAGGCCTGGTGTCTACAACTGGGACCTGAACCCCTGTCACCTGCAGGAAGCCAGATTAGGCCGTTTAAATAACTGGCAAATAAAGGTGTAAAATTAAAGAAGTAGTAAGAGCTGAGGTCTCTCTACAGTAGCTGTGCAGGATTACTGAAGTCAAAAACTGTGTTCCCTTTCTCTCCTCTTCTTGCTTTTCTTTTATAGAAGAATGATTAATAGTTTTGCTGATGAACTTGCAAACTAGGTTTCAGCTAGATTTTCTCCCAGTGCCCCACCTCTGCCACCCAATGTATCTTGCGGTTTTCTTGACTTTAATAAATCTTTTGATGCTTGTTGTCCCTACTTCCCTTTCTAGAAACCTCTCAAAGAATATGGAAAAAAAGTCCTTTGTGGTTTACTTATCAAGTTTTCTTATGTCATACCTCTCAGTGAGATAGAGGAGGAGCATGATCTAACACTGAAGAAATTTGACCCAGTATGCTTTCACAATTTTTACTTATATTAGTAACACTTCTGGTTGTGTTTGGGTGTAGGATTACAATTTATGACAATTACATGTTTGAGGCATAATGAAAATTTTTCTCCTAATTAGTAAGACTTAGCTTTATGTTACAGCCAGGCTTACTCATATAGTTGGATGTCTTTTACTTGTTAAACTGCTGTTGTGCCAACTATGTGACTTACTAATAATGACAACTCTGATCTTCTCTGACTGTTTCATACTTATACAAAAAATTAGTTGTTTGTATTTTTCTGACTTATGGATACTGGCAAATCACATTTATAATTCCTGTCTTGAATAAGTATCTATAACAAGTTGTATTATTTCTAAGATTTGATTTTTTGGTATAGTTTTATATTTGATCACGTTGACAAAGCATCTGGCACGTTTTCTTCATAGTGGTTGTAGGATCTTCTCTTCAATTTGATGAACTGGTATGTGTATTATGAATTTCATTTAATATTCCTTGACCAAAAAATACCCCAAAACCAACATCATTAAATAACTTCAATTGCAACAGCATAGAGATACAGAAAACTTTTGAGTTGGGTATTGAATGAAAGGCCACTATTAAGGAGTAGAAATACATGCTTACAGTACTATGCCAATCTTAATTCAGTCAGTTATAATGTTGCAAAATCAAAAATTACTTTGTAATTATAGTCTGTTTTTTGTTTTGTGGGGTGTTGGTTGGTTGGTTGGTTGGTTTTGTGGGTTTTTGTTTCCTGTCCCCTTCATGGTATAACCATAGGCCAGTGTTCAGCATTGGGTGGGCTTCTTTCACTATGCATTGTTCCATAGATTTGTTCTTTTTTTGTGGAGTTTTCAAAGTGTGTGGACAATAAGCACAGGAAGAAACTGTGAGACCCACCCTTCTGTACAGCTGAACACTGTTCCAGAGCTTGGGCTGTCTGTCTCCTGCAGAATGCCTTTTTGGCAGTTACTTTTTTGTAGGTTTTTGAGTCCCAGTTTGCTCAGGACGCTTGTAAATGTTCAGCAGCCCTACCACCCCACATACATGATTACAGCAGAAGGTTAACTACCAGCCACTTCTAGTTTTTAATCTGTCAGAAAATAGTCTGCAAGTAACAGTGTATTCTTATTTTTTTTAAGATCTTTTTTTTAATATCTTTAGTGGATGAGCTTGTGATCATGCTAACACTCACAACTGTAATTAGACGGCAGCCAAACTTCATACAAATGAGTTGCAAAATCCAGTGTCCCTGAAAAGCCAGGGCTTGGATACCAACATTTGAATATTAAAAAGATGTGTTTTCAGAATGTGTTTTCAGTATTCATGTGTGTAGGCTTCAGGATTCTGTTTGCAAAATGCAGTAACTTAATTACAGATTGTTGTGATGTTTGAAGCACTCAAATGTGGCAACAGCAGGCATGAAAAAAAAATCCCAGGCGGGAATAATTAGACATACATATATAAAGGGATTTGAATGAGGTACAGTAAATAGGGTATACAGGTTGAGAAACTAAGATGAAATGAATTGTAGAGGTCATCATTCAAGTTTCATTGCACTGAAAGAAAGATATATGAATTGTATCATTATGAAGTGTTTTTTTAATATAGAAAATCAAAATACCTCTGGATGAGCATTTCTAATTATGATGTTTTATAATTTTTCTTATTTTAATGTCAGGTATTTAATGCTAAGCAGGATTACACTGTTTCAGTAAATGAGATAAACTGTTCTTCGTTGAGGGAAAAGCTGTTTAATAAACATACGACATTGATTTGGCTTTCATTAAAAATATATGCTACAAAAATACTTTGATTTTTAAAGTCAAGAATGGTTACCATTATGGAGCATTAAGAAAGGAGAGCTGCTGGTTTGTAACTTTTCCAAAGCTTTGCTAAATAGTTTGCTTTGCCAAGAGTATAGTGTTACAGTTTTGAGAAACAGTTTACTAATTGGCTGCAGAGGAGGGCAGTGCCTTCCAACCTAGACTAGAAGTAGTTTATGGGTAAGTCAGAAGAAGAATGGCTGTCTTAAATTCCTTTGTTCAGCAAGGACTGGAGATGACTAACATCAGAAAGTGTGTATTTTACTTAGCTTTCCTTTTTCCTCAAGCTGAGTCACATCTTGACCTAGTTGGCTTGATAACATGTACTCTAAGTATTTAAAAGCTTAATCAAATTTCCCCACTCTTTCAACAAGGTAAAAATGCTGACAGCATTTCTGTTTGCCAACCGATAGGCAGATTCAGTAGCAAAATAGAAAATCACTGTTCTGTGCCTTTTTTAACATCTTGTTTTAGGTGATAGTTGCATCGCAAGGTTGTTTCCCTCCCCCTCTACCGCCATGCCCACAAAATTAGATTAAATTAGATATGAAATCTGATTACATTACAGGTTAACAGAGGATTGTCATACAGTAGTAGTTTGTTCTCGGCTCTTTCCCCCACCCTGCACAAGTAGTGGGGGCTGTCGATTTTGCAGCCCTCTGACATTTTTATTTTCCCATTGGTACTTACGTTGCATCTGCTGTTTTGCAGGACTGTGTGGCATAGCAGATCAAGGAACTTATCTGGCTCCTGGGAGGGAGCAGCCCTTTGAAAAGGCTTCAGTTTGCACAGCACAGTGTGTAAGCGCATGGAGAAGAGCAGGGTAGAACAATAGTGGCTTTTTCATTGTAGAAAAGCCAGCTTAGGTGCACATTGAACTAGAGCTGCAGAATAATGTGTGTTCTTCCTGCCTTTTATAAACCTTTTCAGAAGGCTATACTGTTTCCTACATGATTCCATGAAAACATTCTTGTTTTAGAGAATTTTACCCTTACAAATACATGTTTTTATCTGTGAATTATCTGTATTTCTAACAACTGCGTGCAGAACAAATACGTTCTTTTTCCCAAGCTCCCTTTTGTTTTGCAGCTGCTCCTCTTTGTAAATGGCACAAATCCCATCCATGCCCTTTCCCCAATATTCTGTTCAGCGTTCCTAACTGTTCTGAAGTTCGCACTTGCTAAGAGAGACTGTATGGAATGGAGTGAGAAGCAGCTTTGTTGTTTTGGTTTTTTTTAATTAAGCAAGTGTAGTTTCATTCCTAATGTATAGAATTGTAATGTCTGGCATATAGTTTTTAACATGAATATGTATGGGAGCTAGAATAAACCTGCAGAATTTGAAAGTCATGATGTAAAACAAGTGGTTAAGTCCTAAGCACTACCTTTTGACTGGGATGCTGGTTGAGTAATACAGTTACTTAAGTAATGCTACTAACCCAGCTGTTTTCTTTTATTTTTTTCTTGCCCTTATATTTGGAAGAATATTTGGCATATTTGATTGTTTCTTCATTTGAAAAATTGCATTTTAAAGAGTGGTAAAGTCTGTTAATTAATACTTAAGAACTTAGTCTTTCTAGAGTTTGCTTTATTCTGAAAGATGTATTCTCTATTTGGGAATCTGGTTGTTGAGACTCCACTGCCTTGCCACATTCCAGGCAGCTTTTGTGGCTAACAGAGGTTTCAGGAATGATCATACGAGGTCAGACAAAAAGTCCATCAAACAAATATCCTGTCTCTGAGAGCGCATAGTAAAGAGCATGAAAACAGGGCAAGGATATATGGTGAGGATGGCTTTTTCCTTGCCTCTCTATACTGTCCTTGTCTTTAGTGATTTGTGGCCTAGTATTGTGAGCTAGAAAGGACATTTTATTAATGTTGGATTAATTTTTGTTGTTTGGTTTGATCTTTTTGTTGTGCCCTTGTCCATCAGAAGATGCTTGATCATATTCTGTTGAAGGGCATTATGCTAACTTCATAGTATTTACTGGTTTAATTATTTAAGAATTGTCTTCATTTTTATGCTTAATCAAGCTTTCAGTCAAAATTGAGAAGTGTTACACTGTGTTGTGTTACTGTGGTTTTCTTAATTATTTTTTTTCTCCTTGGTACTGAAACCTTAACCATTTTGTCTGGGAGAGAGAAACCACTGTTTCTGTGGCCAGTGTAAGGAACTGAAGTTCAGTTTCAACTTACCAACTCTGCACAGTGCAGTGCATTTATACTTTTCAACATTCTTGCATAGACACATGGCCAGTCAAATATGTAATTTTTAAACTGTTTTTAAACATTTTTAAATGTTGCTATGCAGACTTCTCAGCCAGCTGTCTTAAAGCTGCTTCTTCCCTTTCTTTCAGACTAAGAGTAATGATGACCTCTTAGCAGGGATGGCTGGTGGTGGTGGAGTGACAATGACCAATGGTGTCAAGGCAAAGAAGAGCACTTGTGTATCAACAGCATCTTCAGCTTCAGGGATGACCATGAACAGTCTGGAAAATAAACCCAAAACTATTGCAGGTAAATGGATATATTGATGCTTAAAGATCATACTTGGGCAACTTCTTATTTTCCTGTTATGCATTGAGGATCCAGGTTGCTTAATGAAGTGGTCAGTAAGGCCATGGCCAAATCAAACACCTCCTGTGTTCTTTTCCTGGTTTGTTTTTTGTTTTGTTTTGTTTTTTTAAATATTGTGATTGCCTCTTTTGGAAGGTGTTCCTTTTAATATTTTCAGTACTGATTAAGTAACTACCATATAAAACTAGATAATACAATTATTCTAGAGAATCATAGATTTGTCTAAAATAAGTTGTCTTTAAAAAGAAAATCCATACCGCAAACACTAAATCTTTAAGATATTATCAGTTGTTGCAGTCAACATTTTGGACATTCTGTATTGCTTTATAAAAATGAAGTAAAATTGCTTTCAGACACTTCAGAAAAGCAAAATTATTTAGTGTGTTATCAATATGGATGGAAATATGACTTGCCTTCCATTGTTATGTTTTGGATTCAGTAATGCTTGCAAACCTGTAAAGCGTCTGGAAGTGAAGTAGTAATAATCTATCCTTGTCTTCATGAAATGAGATGAAAATACAAAAAAAAACCCTCTTAGCTTTAATTTTGGGGAATCATAATATGCAATTCATCACTTGAAAGCTTGCATTCACATCTACTGAAGACAGACAAATTTGAACTTGTAAGAATAGCACTGCTGCAGTTTTTGTGCAATTTGTCAGAAGCTGTTGAAGACAAAAAAAAAAAAGAAACTTGCAACTGTTAAAATTTAAGGTCTAACTGATTTCCAAAATACTGGAAAAGCATAGCAATTGGTAAAGCATATGTCAATTAAAATATAACTGCACTGATTATGGTTGTTAAAATGTTTACTCTAAATATATTTTGTAAAATGTATTTACCAGTGTGATACAGAAAATCAACCACTGTAATGCTGATACAAAATAGACGGTCTGACATTACAGATACTGTATTTTAAATGAATGTTCCTAACTTTCAAAAAACATATAGGTACAAGTTCCACAACTAAGCGTAGCACTTCATCTGGAAATAAAGAGTCAAGCTCTTCTAGAGAAAGAATACGTGATCGTTCTCGTTTAAGCCAGAGCAAAAAGCTGCCTTTGGCTGGACAGGGGACCAGTGATACGGTACTGGCAAAACGCTCCCGTAGTCGCACCAACCCAGAATCAGATATTCGAATGAGCAAGTCGAAATCAGACAATCAGATCAGTGACAAAGCTGCGTTGGAGGCAAAGGTGAACGATCTTTTGACATTAGCAAAAACTAAAGATGTGGAAATCTTGCATCTACGGAATGAGCTAAGGGACATGCGTGCTCAGCTAGGACTTAATGAAGATCAACTTGAGAGTGATGAAAAATCTGAAGAAAAAGAGGCCATTGTTGTCCATCAGCCAACTGATGTAGAGTCCACGTTGCTACAGTTACAGGAACAAAACACTGCCATCCGAGAAGAGCTCAACCAGCTGAAGAATGAGAATCGAATGTTAAAAGACAGACTAAATGCATTAGGCTTTTCTTTGGAGCAAAGGCTGGACAACTCTGAAAAACTCTTTGGCTATCAGTCTTTGAGTCCAGAGATTACAGCTGGCAACCACAGTGATGGTGGTGGTACTCTGACATCGTCAGTGGAAGGTTCTGCCCCTGGGTCAATGGAAGACTTGTTAAGCCAGGATGAGAACACTTTGATGGACAATCAACATAGTAATTCTATGGATAATTTAGACAGTGAGTGCAGTGAAGTTTATCAGCCACTAACATCAAGCGATGATGCTTTAGATGCTCCATCATCTTCGGAGTCTGAAGGCGTACCTAGTATAGAGAGATCTAGGAAGGGAAGCAGTGGCAATGCGAGTGAAGTGTCTGTAGCTTGTCTGACAGAACGGATACATCAAATGGAAGAGAATCAACACAGTACAGCTGAAGAGCTCCAAGCCACGCTTCAAGAGCTTGCAGATTTGCAACAAATAACACAAGAGCTAAACAGTGAGAATGAAAGACTTGGGGAGGAAAAAGTCATCCTTATGGAATCTCTGTGCCAGCAAAGCGACAAGTTAGAACACTTCAGCCGTCAGATCGAGTATTTTCGGTCCCTTTTAGATGAACATCATATTTCATATGTAATCGATGAAGATATGAAAAGCGGTCGCTACATGGAGTTAGAGCAACGTTATATGGACCTTGCAGAGAATGCTCGGTTTGAGCGAGAGCAGCTGTTAGGTGTTCAGCAGCACTTGAGCAACACTTTGAAGATGGCAGAACAAGACAACAAGGAGGCCCAAGAAATGATAGGGGCATTAAAAGAACGAAATCACCACATGGAACGGATTATCGAGTCAGAGCAGAAAAGCAAAACAGCGATAGCATCTACCTTAGAGGAGTACAAAGCCACAGTAGCCAGTGACCAAATTGAGATGAACAGGCTGAAAGCTCAGTTAGAGCATGAAAAGCAGAAAGTGGCTGAGCTGTATTCTATACACAACTCTGGAGATAAATCAGATATACAAGATTTACTGGAGAGCGTCAGGCTGGATAAAGAAAAAGCAGAGACATTGGCCAGTAGTCTGCAAGAAGAGCTGGCACACACTCGCAACGATGCCAATCGATTGCAAGATACCATTGCCAAGGTAGTGTTTAAAGCAGACTTATATGTTAACATCTTGTATGCACCATGACTTACTGTTGGTCACTGCAGTGCTTTTAGAAGTAAAGGATTAATTATGAGGTTAATTGGATTCCAGTTGTGTTTACCATAATTTAATATAAACTAAGAATAATAAAATTTAATCACTTTAGGCATGCATTTAAAGGTATATCTTGCCAATGAGAAAATTGTGCTATTAAGATAAAAAATAGTGAAGCAGATGATTTAAAGCAGGGCATTTTGTGGATTAAAATTGGTGCCTGACTGTATTGACCCACCCTAAGCCATGACCTAATTTCTCTTGTTTTCTGACACTCTGTTTTTGCTGTTGAGTTAGTGTTACTGTGCTTCTATGCCAGCTTGTTACTGATGTTGCAGTTTCATGAAGCAGGATAAAATAGTGTCACTGCTCCTGAAAGGGAAAAGTCTGCCAACTCTTCTTTTCTCTGTTTTTGGGGGTTTTTTAAATTCAGTTCAATAGTTTGTAAGACTCCTCTTGAACTATTTCAACTCATGAACACATCTCACACACAAATGTGAGTCTTGCTACTTGCTTAAGGAAATGAATCGTCTCACAGGTCCAGCAGGCACTAAAATTGATGCATAGAAGAGAGCAAGCTTTTTTTTATGGCAAGAGAAAAAGGGTAAAAAGTTTCTCACACAACTCCCTCCCTTTTCCGTGGCAGCTGGATGATCAGTTTGATGAGCTGCTCATGAAATCACAACCTTGGCACTATGGCATTATTGCTTCACTTGAGTACAGGATCCTGCAGTTAGAGTAGCTGGGGAGTGCTTATATGTTCAGCTTGGGAATAAGAGAGTTTAACTCTGGCTTAGGAAAAGAGTTGCACTAGAACAATACATTTTTTGAAGGCTTACATTTGGCTTCTTGTCCCATACTTTTTTATGGTTGCACAAATATATTGTAAGTATGGTAGTTAAAGAAACTAAAAGTGTATTTTGAAAGGCAGCCAATTCAGTTATGATATGTTCTTTTTCAGGTTGAAGATGAATACAGAGTATTTCAAGAAGAAGCCAAGAAACAAATTGAGGATCTCAATGTGACTCTTGAAAAACTTCGGACAGAACTAGATGAAAAAGAGACAGAGAGAAGTGACATGAAAGAAACTATCTTTGAGTTGGAGGATGAAGTAGAGCAGCATCGTGCTGTGAAGCTTCATGACAACCTTATCATATCTGATTTGGAGAGTAAGTGTTACAAGTTTCTCTTGTGAGAAAAATGATAATTTAAGTGCAACTGAAGTAGAAAGCTGCAGTAGGGAAAATATTTTTACTTGTCTTTCATATGTCTAAATTCAAGGCAGACTGGGCTTTGCAGAACCCTTATGCTCTAGGGGGAAACAAAGCAAGTTGGCTTTGCTTTTCCAGTCCTGGTAGTAGTTGTGTGGGAATGAAAACCTATAAATTGAGAATAAATATGAAATCTGATAATGATGTTTTCAACTTGTTTTTCAAAGTAGAAGAACGGGTAATTACAGACTTAATAACAGTGTGCTCTTTGTGCATTTTGGAGACTGGATGATTGATTGATTTAGTGTTTTGGTAGGTTTTTTTAAGTTAAGAATGTTCTCTTTTATTGAGTGCCCAAATATTAGGAGTTACCAGATAGCTTTGAAATGTGTAATTAATGGTTTCTCTCACCCAAAGAAAGGTGTTTTTAGTGGAGAAGTGGGTGTATGGGGGCCCTGAAAGTTACAAACTGATGTGGCAGTATGGGTATCTTTCAGTGTAGCTGTGCTGAAGTCATGAAACTGATCTGTGAACCTAAAAATGAATCTGACAAACTTCAAGCAAGTTAGAATAAAACTTTTATCTGATGACTCTTGCCACTGTACAAGAAATAGTTGGCCCTTATAATGAAATTCGTGTTGACTGTATACTTGTCTAGCTCTCTGTGCCTTAGTTCCCTCTCTGATCTCCAAGACCTGCTCAGACATTCGTACCACGGGCTGGAATTCTGCAATTACTCTCCATCTAAATAAGAAATTGGGCAACTGTACCCTGGCAAGCTGTATTTGCACAGTGCTACTTACAGAATTCAAGTATCTGCTATTCTTCCGTGGTATGCAAAGACTAAACAAGATAGCAAAAACTCCAAAGCATAATCGCTTTTTACAGCAAGGGAAATATTCATAGAAAGGATTTTAAATTGGTCTGCTGTCAAGAAAAGGAAGTGTCTTAAGCAAGCTAAATTGTTTATTTAACTGAAGCCTGGTGTCTACAGACATGTGGCTGTCAGGTTGGTTTCCCTAAGCAACCCCCTTCTTTGTCTTGAAAGGCAATCACTGTTTCTCTTTACAAAATTGCTTTCGGTTTTTACTCTGCAGTATCTTTTTGGCTTTTCTGTTCCAAAACCAAAGACAGACATTTACTTGGGAGCAGAAGCTCAGGCACATGGTTAGTGGCTCTGACTTTTGAAGTTGTTTTGTAGCAAAGACTTTAAAAGGTTGAACACTTTTCTACTTGCATTGTTTTGTCCATTAACTGAAATATATTCATACAGGAAACAGCACCATGGTCAAGGAAACGTTTAGGTATTTGTTTAGTAATACCTGATTACAAGGCTAATTTTCAGATGCTTCTCAATGCTTCTGCTTTCGGGATACAAAATTGCTGTCAAGATTTTTCACTTAAACTGGTAAAAGTTCAGGCGGACAAACCTCTGCCTGCACAGAAATTTGCAACAGAAATTGCAACAGTCTTTGTTACTCATTGCTCTTGGAATGGTTTGGAAAATTCAGCTGTACTAGCTGATGGCCCGATGTGATCTTTTAGGAAGAAATCAGTATTTTAGTTACAGGCAGGAAGGAGAGTGGCATCTAGTGGCAGTAAGAAAAGAAGGCACCTGAAGAATAGTATAAAGTTAAAAATATTTTTTTCTGACCACTTTAAAATGCTCTTCGTTATGGGTTCATATTAAACCTCATACAGGAGTTTCTTGGTGGTAGCCTCTTAAGGAGTGACAGCAAAGAGCAACATCTCAGAAAATCTGTGACTTAGAGGGAGTACATACAACATATAAAAGATAGAATTTTAATAATTTTTAAGTGACAGAAGAGCACATCTTATAGTAGTAAGTTATACTGATCAGACTTTTGATCAGTTCTGGTATTTTGTGCTTTTAAATGTGGAGAATTTAGTGTAGGTTTAAGTGTTTCAAAGTACTAGTTAGAAGAGTGGTGTTTTTTTACCCTAAAAAATAAAGTGTAGTAAAGAACCATAAAGGTTTTCTTTAGTTAACTTTTATTTTAGATTTTAAAATTTGAGAAAGTCTAATCCACCACTTAAGGAGAGTATTTGCCCGATGGCAGTGCTACTGAGGAAATGGAAGTGATGGCAAGACAGCTGATAAATGACAAGTGGTAAGTGATGGAAAATTATTGCCTAAAGAATTCACAAAGACAGACTTTACAGTTAGGAGAAAGATGTTTCATAGATGATGTGGTTAGCATTCATTCAATTTAATCAGCACTAGTGTTGGAATGTTAAGTGCTCTAGCATTGGTACGTAGGGCATGCTTCATTGTGGGCATTCCAAACACCGGGAAGAGGCACAACAAACAATAGAGTGAAACATCTTTGACAGTAATCTGAATAATCAAGTGTCACATTTTAGCTGTTATCCTGTCTGTCTGCAAAAACTGGGGTCTCTTTGATGTGGACAGTGGGTGTAGATTGCATTGATTAATAAAAGCATACAGTATGCTCCTGATGTCCATCCAGGCACGGCAGGAACTGCAGACAGTGGCTGCTGAACTCATTACTGGTGGGACAAGGAGTTTTAAGCATAATGCTTCCTTATTGCATCTAAAGAGTCTAAAAAATCTTAAGATAACCTGTATGATTTACATCCTCACTAGTGCACTGAGATGAAACGAGCTGTAGTCGAGATGGGTCTGTAGGTGCTGGAGTGGAGGTGAGGTAGTGGGAGAGGGCAGGCGGATGCTGCGCTAGATGGCGTGGTTGCTCTGCGTTTCATTCCTCGCTTCCATAAAGCTTCCAGGAGTCAGGAAACCAAGCTGCCACATTAGTCTTTTTCCATGACTAAAGGGAGAAAATAAGCGTAGTAATCTTTCAAGCAGTTAATAAGAGTTTGTGGGGAAGTTTTTTCGGAGAACTTTGTCTCCTGATCTGCAGAAAATTGATAGTTGTAGGTTAGCTTACCAGTTGTCAGATGTTTCTTCTGAAGCCTGAAAATACTCGTTGCATGTTCACTTAGTACAAGGTACATGCACAGAACAAACCATTTCTCTTAGTCTGTAACTGTTTGAAGTCAGTAAATTTTTTGGACAGGGGTAGGTGAGCAGGTTGGTATTTCTAATGTTCAGTAAATAAATAGTTCTTTCATGGAGCTGCCAGCATTAGTTTTTAATTCTTCTATGTCTCATTTTGAAAAGGATCTTGACAACGTTTGTGAAACTAAATTTTTACATTACTACTTTTAGGCCTTTTCTACCATAATGTTGGATAAGTCAGTTGGTTGTTCATTTTCCAATTGTTAGTAATTAATTTTTTTTCCTAATGTTGAACCCTTTACAAAAACCTGCTTTCTTGCTGTATCGACCCATGTCTGACAGTGATAAGCTTGAAAGCAAGACTGATATAAATATATATTTGTATATTTGTAACCGGTGCCTCTTCCTTATATAAGGAAGCTGTAATTCTCGAATTAACTGTAATGTTGGCACTATTTTGTGTAGATGTGATCATACTGGCATAGCCATTTTTATGCAAAAAAAGAAGAAATACTATTCTAGTATAAGGCACATCAAAGTATCTGGCACAAAAACTGAGAGAATGCCCATTGTGGGTTTGCCTCAGCCAGGATTGCTTCATTTAGGGTCTCTTATCAGGTATTGTAATGTCATGTTTTGAAACTACTGTGTGTATCTGAATATTGTCTTTTTTTTCTCCTCTTACCCTGAGACAAATCAAACAATTTAATGTTAATACTTATTTTTATTTCACAGTGATAAATTCTAACTGCTAATTATAATCAGTAAGCGTTACAGATACAGAATGCAGTAATATTTTTTCTCAAGCAGCCTTTTAAAATTCAGATGATATCTTGGTTTCTTCCTCCCACCAGCCATAGTTGTTTTTCTTTACCATTTGTAGTCTGCACGTCTCATAATTTATCTGGCTTTTAAAAAGCAAGGACTTGTCACAATGTGATTTAAATCAATATCGTTTTGTATAATGTAGCCATAATTGAATCCTGCAGAAGAACACAAGCAACTTGCTGATTTGCCATGTTTGGTTATGCTGTTCATTCATCAGAATGGTCTCCTTGTTCTTCACTTACCCTAAACAATAGTTGCTCTTCCTTTTGTCTCAGTCCTCTTTCTTAAAAGACGACTGGATAATGGTTGAAGAGAAGTACCTGTCCTACCATACTTAAACTTGGAACACATACAAATGGAAAGGGTTTGTGTGTGTTGGACAAGAATTGTGGAGGTTGTGAGGATGCAGAAAGGAAGCATACCACAAGGCATAGAGAATTGCTGCCTGTGTGCCTGTTTTGACTACTTGAATTTTCAGGCTGTAATTGGTGGCACAGTGCAAAGAATGGAGGTCAGGCTGCAAGAGTTGAAATCACTTATCTTAGTCTTAATTTCTCACTGCATTTCAAATTCAGTTGTAATTTGGTAGTTCTTTTCAGTTTGTTTTTCTGTCTTTGATTAACTGGGGGAGAAGACTGCTTCCAACAACTGCTGTAAAACGTTCTGTATTGTTTATAGTAACTGCAGAATATTCAGACCATTGTGTTTTACTTCAAAGCATAAATATACTAAAACTTAATGGTGCATTTCATATCTCACAGAAGCTCAAAACCATGGCATTACACAAGCTTTAACTCTGGATGCATTTATAGTTTCTGGATTGTGGTTATTTTTAGATGAACTATAGCTTGCTTTTAGAATGACCACAAATTCTCTTTTTAAAAACACACTTTCTTAGAACTGCCTTTAAAAGAGAAGATGGTCATCCACTAGATTTTGTTTCAGAATGCTACTGGAAGATCTTTAGGGCACGTTGACTTGCTGTCACTGTTGAAAGTTACCTAATTTGCTTGGCTTTTCTTAGCCTGTGTTTAAAGAAAAAAAGGGTGGGGAGGGGGAGTGACTTTTATAACTTTGACCTAAAGCTGGCATATCAGTGCTGACTTTAGCTCAAACAAGTTGTGTGTACAGAGACAAGCTAAAAGTTGGAGGGCTTTGCTTAAATACCATGGTAGCATGAGATTTGAGTGACACGCTCAGTTAGGCTTATCTTCAAAGCTTAAAGATCAATTGGGTGCATCTTAAAATGTGCAGTCTTGTAAGGAGGAGATAAACACAGAAACATCTGTCTAATTTTAGTGTTTCAACTTTTCCAAGCCTGAAAGGTTATCATGTTTTCAGGCCAGCTGAGGTTTATATCATTCCTGTGAAGAAATTAGCTGTGGCATCGAAAGCCTCTGTGCTTGGGACTGTTGAGGCAAAACTCAAGAATTTCTTCTGATGAAGAAGCCAAAAGGAATTCCATAGCTGAAAAGTTGAAATGTTTTTATGAGCATAGTTGAGGTTCCTTAATGTGCATATCAGCATAAATCAGCTTAAATCCATTCTTAGTTCCATCTGATTTAAACATTTTGAAATGATTACTGTTTTCCATTTAGTCTGCCATAGCTTCACATTTATTGTTAAGAAAAGCCCTTTGACAGAAGACCAGGAGTACAGAAGGTGTAGGCTTACTTGGGAAGACACCGATAGGTATTGGCAGAACAAGTAACTTTGAATGGAAAAGAAAAAAACACTGGAAAGTTTTTCATGTTAGAAAATAAGATCCACAAAACGTTACTGTGTCAATCTGCTTGTTTTGAACATGTATGCCTATCTTCTGACTATTCAAACATTCATTATGCAATTCCACAGGTTTTTGCCAAGGTTTTGTATTTTGAACAACCTAAATTTATTAAGTACCTTCAGTCTTTTTTGTGGGGAGAGCATTGCTAATATACAGTGAAAATACTTGTTTCTAACAGGTCTTGGAATAATGAACAAAAAAATGCATTCAGTTAGTTGACCCATCATTTTTACAGTTTGGAAATAGCTACATGATGCTACAGAAATAAAATAATCCTAGAATCCAAAGATCAGTGAACTGACACACTAATTAGAAACTTATGGTGTGTTCTTCTTAATTAGTTGCTTACTTCTGGGAATGGAGTGATCAATCACGTTGTCCTTGTGTATTCAATAAAGTAACAAATGAACAATAATTGCAGTAGCCAGTCTGCGAGACACCACATGAGAAGTTGGTGCTAATCGAGCTGCATACACTTTTGTGTAGCTGCTGACAGATTTAAGGGACCGTCTCCTTTCTTAACATGATCTTATAGACTGTTTGTCCCTCTGCTGTAAATATAGCTTGTTTCAACTTCAAATAGTAGCTTGATAGACAAGAACGTAAGATTTTTGAGGACTTGAGTAGAATTTTATCCCCGCTGAAGGCACGGCTGTGTGTGTTATGTCAGCTGCTTTGTGGCAGGGAGTAAATTGTGAATCAAAAGGCTTCGTGTAGCTGCAGCTTACATTTAAAGAGGGAAAAACCGCCAGACATCCATGTTTTCAGGATCCTTCCATGTTAAATTACCTATCTTACTGATTTGCTCTTTGTTATTCCTTTCTCATTTTAATATTGTGAAGGGTAGAGAAGAGACTGAGATTAGTACGCGAACTGAGTTGGCTTATGCTGTTCCCTTCACCAGTCGTATAGAAGCATGTACATATTTGGATTTTCTGTCAAATTATTTCTGCTCATATTATTTTTCTCCAGATGGCTTTGCTTATAAAAATGTATTCTCTGAGTAAGTTTAAAAAAACATTTTCAGGTTGTTTCAGTTACTCTTTTCTAAGTAATAGGTTCTTGACTAAGGTCTTACAAATAGTTTGACTTTCTTTCCAGATACAGTTAAAAAACTTCAGGACCAAAAGCATGACATGGAAAGAGAGATAAAAAATCTTCACAGGAGACTCCGGGTAGGTTAAAACCTAAAAATACAGTAAATTGTAACCTTGAAATGTCGTAAGACCTGTGTGTGAAACTGTGAAAAGGTAATGAGATGTAGTAGCATTAAAACATTGGTTTCTGAGAGACAGGCATCATATGGGAGTATATTTACTAACCTACAGACACTGAAGAATTAAATTCTGAAAAATTCTCAATGTCTCAGAGATACGGCGTTGAGCCTGGGAGAAAAGGTTCCTGTGTCTTCTGGTGCATAGTTTTACAGGTTCCCCCCACCCTCTGCTTTGAACATTTTCTTTGTTTCTAGAAAATAAATTAATGACCTTGGAAATCTAGTTATTTCTAGCAAAATTTCTTAAATTTAACTTCTAAGTTAGGTTAGGTTGTGTCTAATGCCAGTGAGTGCCTTTATTATTCCTGTAAATTGTTTCCTGTATCGGCATAGGGAAACTATGAATTATAAGGATGAGTTTTATTTTTAACTTCAGAATTCTTGCTGCTACTTTCAATTTCAAGTTTTATTTACTTATAGGAGGAGTCAGCAGAATGGCGTCAGTTCCAAGCTGATCTACAGACTGCAGTGGTTATAGCAAATGATATAAAGTCTGAGGCCCAGGAAGAGATAGGAGACCTGAAACGTAGATTACATGAAGCTCAGGAGAAAAACGAGAAGCTCACTAAAGAGTTGGAGGAAATAAAGTCACGCAAGTATGCAAAAGAAAATGGGGATATTGTCTCTTTTGTAGGGAGGGTACAATTTTGGAAGTCCAGTGTCTAAACTGTTGTTGAGACTCTGGAAGCTTGTAAATCCTCTCACTGTGAGGGTTTGTATTTCAACAGCTGCTTTACGCGGGCTTTCAGGAATTGAAATAGGTAAACTTACAAGAATATTTGTTTCTGTATACTGTATACTTCATCCATCCAGGAGTACTCAGTTTGACACTTGTGCAAAACCAGGTTGAAGTGGAGGATTTTTCCCATTTCACAGCTGGACATGATATAACTTCCCTCAGTGTAGAAACAAGCAGTGTTGGCTTTCCTGTACCATCATTAATACTTCTTATTAGCAGCCAAGGCTTTTGGTATGGTTAAAAATACAGCCTCTTTTTTTTACCTGAGAAGAAACCTTTGTCTAATTCTTCATATATCTTAGTACTGTTTTCTTTCCACTGATAATTGTTTTTGTGAATAATTAGAGACGCTTTGTGTATAAAAACATTTTTACTAAAAACAATTCAAACTGTGATATACTGTGGCTGTAATTAGGTGCTACAGTTATTTAGAAACTGAATTGTACATCTTTCAGAAGTATTAAATTCCTCAAATCCATAGAGTAGGGACATCTTGGACAGCACCATTTGAATCTCAAATAAATTGTCTCTAGGGATTGAATACATATATAGCTTACAATTGTAGTAATGATGTTTGTGATGGGTATATATTAATTTTTTTTCCACATGGATGGGCATTTTATAGGATACATGACACTTATCCCAGCATCCACTGGGGTAAGACATAACACAGGCTGTGGAACTTGGGGGAAAAGCTGATGGTAGGAAGGGCAGACTGGATACACTGAAAGTGGAAATTATCTGGATGGATGAGTGGTGGGTGTAAAGCATCTTATCTGAAGAAAGATCACTGAATTAATGTAACATGAATGCTTCTTACTAATACATTTCAGCCAGAATTGTAAGTGTTCAATTACTGCTTGCAAGTGAAACTTTGAGCTTACAGCTGCACTTTTGAAGGTAGAATTGGCTTGCTGATTCTGGTCAGTGTATTCGTTATTACCCATACACAAGCATCTTTTGACATTTGATTCTTTTGACGTTTGATTTGACAAGTTGCTTCTGGAGAGATTCTGATTGAACTCCAGAAGAAATTTTTTTACCACAAGATCAATCGGACATTGAACAATCTCCCAGAGGAAGTGGTAAATTCCCCTGCACTGGTCAGTTTTAAGAGTCAGCTTGACAGGGTGCTGACTCATCTCATTTAAACTATAGTTTTACCTTGAAAGGTTGGACCAGATGGTCCTTGTGGTCCCTTCCAACCTGGTATTTTATGATTCCCTGCAGATAAAGAACAGAGGCAACTGAATCAGATTCCTTGGAAGTGGTATAGCTACTGTATTGGAGGAAAGGTGCTGGGAAAGTCTGGTACAGTGTCTGAAGCAAAAATCAGTCAATGTTTAATTATTGCAGACTATAGAAAATAGGTTGCTTCAAACAATTCTTGTTTTGTGACACTGAGTACAATAACCACCATAAATATTCTGTACTAAAAATATGACTGATTCATATGCTACCTAAAGATCTATTCTATAAATGTATTCTTACCACCTTAGTATTCTTTTAAATTGTTTTCTGTTTATGCAGGTGGAAAAATTCTCCCCTCTGAGCTGATTATTTTCATGTGAACTGGTTAAACCCTTAAGGCTCAATTTTTTCCATCCATGTGTACATTTGTGTGTTTGAGAGGCAGGAGCAGGAACAAAGTCTTAAATCAAGTATTGATTTGATAGCCTTTTCATCTGGTGCTTAAGTTCTCTTGCTGACAAACAGTAAGAACTTACAGTGATAATTTAGGTTGATAATCTATTTCTGAATTACAGTGGAAAGAAAACTAGGTTAATGTAATGACCAGTTTGGAGCATAGGGGTTTTTTTAAGACTTTGCATGTTAAAATGTTTGTTAAATGCCTTGAATGGTCTGTATATTGATTTCAGGCAGGAAGAGGAACGCGGGCGAGTGTACAATTACATGAATGCTGTAGAGAGAGATTTGGCTGCTCTGAGACAAGGAATGGGCCTGAGTCGCAGATCATCCACCTCCTCAGAACCAACTCCTACTGTAAAAACACTCATCAAGTCATTTGACAGTGCCTCCCAAGGTAATTATTTTCAACCAATGTAGCGGCTGTACCAAGTGATTTTGCATATATTGGCATGGACACTTCTAATAGATTAGCAAATTCAAAGTTACTTTATTGTACTGTCATGACATGGCTGAAACAAGCCACCCTAAAGTAAATTGCACAACAGTTCATTCAGTGTGGTTAAATGCAAGCATCCTTTTGTTTTGTCTTGTCTTTATTTATTTCTTTACTGTCGTATTGCCAATGACTCATGTGCTAGGTGCTTTGATTCAATGCTCCCATCTATTAGAAACACATAAACACATATTACATGCATAGCTGGAAGCATAGCTGATTTCAGCCTTACTATTAAAATGTGAACTCAGTGTGCCAAATTAAGCATTCTAAAAGCTTCAGCTAGAGCCAAGTTTGTTTCTTTTAATAACTTCTTGTAGTAAAAGTCCTGATGAAAGTTAAAAATAAAATCCAGTCAGTATCACCTATTAAAAGATGCAGGGGATATTTTATAAAATGAAAGAGATCTCACTGTTGAGACAATGGACTTTACTATAATTCTGATTGTAGAAACAGGTGCTCTTGTCCTTCCCTGTAGATGAGTAGAATAAGGAATCCGCATAATTATCCTGACATGAGAAACAATTGGGTTTTAGCTGTGGCTGCATATGAGAGTTTGTATGGATTAGAATATTTCCCTCACTGGGTCTTTGGGTTTTTAATTTCATTTACAGTGATATCACTGTAAGTCTCTGATGTAAGAAGGCTTGACTGGAAGTAGAATATATTACCAGAGAGACTTATAGCACTGTACTGTGCATGGCAAATCTACTTTTAATGGGTTATAACCTGAAAATTTGTTAAGGTATAGAAGCATCTCCATAATTGACAGTTCTGTAAGTGGTTCTTTTTCCGTGGTTGTTATCTTTGTTCATAGGTATTTACAATTTTTTACTTACCTATTGTTAATTTAGAAGTTGTTTTTTTAATAATCTGTTATTGGATAAAGACACTTTCTTGCCAGAGTTCCCTTCTTTTTAATCTTTTATTTCAAACTAATTATCTGCCTTCTTCCTCAGCATTCGTGTGTAATCATGCTATTAAATAATCAAGTGACTGATTTGCCAATTCAGTATTTGTCTGTTTTCAATAATTTCTGAACATGTTATTTGTTCAATCTCAAAATTTCAGGGATATATCATCTAGTACCTGTTGACGTTGAAAACTGGAGATGAGAAGCAGGTGATACAGGTTATCTTTCTTGTCTTACTACTGGCAGACCCAGGAGCCTGCTACCATCTCTTTAATTATCTGGACATCAGAGAACTAGTAATGCCGTCATTTACATCTGCCAGGGTAATAGTATCCTGCACCTTAGCCTTGTCCACCCCCAGTAAACTTATGTTTTTACCATGGATTACGTATTCAAGACAGAAAATGAATGTAATTACGGAGGAGTAAATGTGTAGGCATCCTTTTAAATGATTTTGCAGTCAGTTACTAATTGAAATTCTGAAAGATGTGATCTGGTAAAACTAGTAATGTAAAGTACAAGGTGGCAGTTTGCTGTATCAGCCATTTTCCCATTTCACTGCAGAACAGTACAGTGCTCACGATGGCTTCCTTTCTGTGTTTCTGCTAGTTCCAAGCCCTGCTGCTGCCACAATTCCTCGCACTCCCCTGAGCCCAAGTCCCATGAAAACTCCACCAGCTGCTGCTGTATCCCCTATGCAGGTAGGAGCTTTATGGCTGCACTTAATCCTTTGTAAAGAGGAACATGTGAAACTACAGGTGGTAATATACAAATATTGGCTGACTCTGTGGGGAAATAATGGTAAACTGTTGCATCAAGTAGGTAATTACTAAAATATGCAGTCTAACAAAAGTGTCTTTCTCTGAAAACCACATTGTAAACAGAAGATTTGGCATAATTCAGAAGTTATTAAATATTCCCAACTATTACTGTTCCTGCACTACTGTGAAACACAGGAGGAAAACTTTATCTGCATTCCTCAGTTTTAGAGTTGCTGTTCATCAGTTTTTAGCCCTGTGCTTGGCACAACAACAGCAGTAATCCCCTTTGGACAGTGGACTGAGATCTGTGCAGAATGTGTCAGCAATCATCAGTATAAATGTATGCCATGTTACATGGGCTTTTGATACCAAACCTGACCAGAGAGGAATGAAATCATTGTGAATTGATTGTCTTTGTTCATTTTGTACTGACTGAGAGTTTGGCCAGTTGCTGATTGTACCGTGCATTTTGCCCTGTCCCCTCTGAAGCTTTGTCTGTTTGTTCAGCTGCTACAGGAGCCTAAGTACGCTCAGATTGCATCATCAGTAGTCTTCATAGTCAGCTTTATAGATCACTGCTGGTTTTATTAGCTCACTAGCTGCATGAAGTGAGATTCTGGCAAAAGCCAAGTTGAAGGACAAAGCAGATTGGGACCAGGTTCACAAAGAAAAATCAAAAAATGGACTGTATGTTTTACACCTTTAATGTCAGTAATTCTCTTGTTGCCTTCAAGATATGATAAACCAGAATTACCAAAACTTGATTTTTACTGTAGGTCAGCGTAATCTTTTGTTGATAAATCCTCTCTGTGTGAACTGAAGAATCTATATCTGTATTGACTTCTAGTGCTCCAGGAACAATACCTGGAACAGACTGTTCTCCTGTGCTTAGACTAGCACAGCCTTTATTCATTTAAGAGCGAATTTCATAAAACAAATAGATAGCCTCGAAGCAAAGAGAAAGAATTGAATGTTTTTGTGAGAGCTTCTGCTATTTCCTGTGACTCAGCTGGTCTTGACAGCAGTTTTCTATGATAGTTAAACGTGACAAGTTCTTTGACAGATGCTTTGTTCCTGTTGATCTGTCTTTATATTTCTGTTTATTTCTGTGCTCTTGTAGGAAGAGGCGCACTTAATCTCATATTCTAATAAAAGGCTAGACCAGAGCTTTGGCAGAAAACTTTGAATGAAACCTAAGGATTATTTCACTTTACGTGTAAATTAACCATGAACCAAAGTAGTACCTTAAAATACTGCAAACCTGCTCAGGTTTATGGCTCTTGTATTGATGTTCTCAGTCTGCCAGAATTACTTGAATTTGGAATTCTGCTTGTGATACAGAACTAAGTAATTAACAGCTGGATACTCATTAGTGGGAAACATTGCCTGAAAAGCAAGGGGAAGGACATGTAGATGAAAAAGGCTTCTGTTGTCTTTTTGAATATAGGTGATTGTCTTGAAAGTATTTGTAATTATCCAGAAGGCAACTGGGTTTCGTGACCTCAATTGCATTTAAAGAATATTTTCTGCCTTAAAGAGAAGGGGGTTGGGTTAAAAAGCAAATTTCATGATCTTTTCTTTTTCTTTATTTTTTCACATTGTTACTTGGTTTTCTATTGTTGTGTTCTATGCAATTTCTGTGTATTTTTTTGTCGGATTTTTGCTCTATTGCAGTGGCAAAGCAAGATTTTAATAAGTAGTCAACGTGAGTTGACCTGTTGGCTACCACCTTGTAGAAATCATCCATGCTTTAAGATTTTGGGTACAGATGGAGGGGTTGATCTCTCTGTGGGTGTTGTAGTGCTTATTATTATTAATCTCACTTGCTTTTAAATGGTGTCACAGGGGAAATATTTACATGGGCACCTACTGAGAAACCGGCACAGTTTTGATACTGCTCGAAGATGGACAGGTGACAAAAAAGACTCTCCAAATACAGATGCATCAATATGTGCCCTCTCCGAATTTTGCATATCACTTCTTTTTTGTGTTGGACTGTGTCATGAGTTTCCTCAGTCTTGGAGAGTTTTTGTTTGCTTTGTTTGTTTTTCTTTGCAGTAATGTGTATATATATGGAAATACATTCTTGGATACATTTTTGCAGCTGAAAACAAACAAACAAAACCCCTTCTGGCTTCAGGTCCAAGCCCCCGTTGGAACGTAGCTGTTATTTGCTGTAATGCTTAGCAATACTGCAAAACGATTTAGGAAAAGAGGTATGAAGAGAATGCTCCTGAGAATGTAAAAACAGTCCTGCTGGGTTAGCCTAAAGCTTAGCTAGTCTGGTATGCCACTGAGAGTGACCAGAGCAGATGCCTAGGGAGGGATATACGGACAAGGAAGCTTATCTGCTGCTTTCCCTGAGTACTTTCTTTTTCTGTTTCATAGCTAGAGGACACTCTCAAGTAGATGTGGTGTCAGTTTCACTGGTCATCATTAAATGTCCTGCTTTGCTTTGAGTATCTAAACTTTCAGACTCCAAGCACTTTAGTGTCAAAGACTTCCATATCTTAACCACTTAATCTGTGAAGAACTGTTTGTTTTGAAATTGCCATGTGAGGAGGCATTGGCGTGAAGTACTTCGTTGAAGTACATACTAAAGTGCAAAGTAATCAAGAATAGGTACCTGGTAGTGGTTGAAGGTCACATTTCCTTCCATAGCCAGCAGCAGATGCAAGGATCAAGAGTCAAAAGCAAAATATCTGGAGTTTAAGGGGTTAGTTCATCCTGCCATAGTTCTGCCTCAAATTTGAGGTGTCAGGTGTTTGTCTTCTTTTACTTTTTTTCTCACCTGTGTGCTGGTTCATCTTCTGGAGTTGTTACTCATCTTACAAAAAAATCTGCAGAGAGTCATAGGTAGCTAGCAGAAACTTTATCTTCAAATTAGCAATGGCCGTGAGAAAGTCACTGTTGATCTTAGCGTCTTTAAATGTATCTGTTACTGTAATTATGTTATACAGAGACTACTACATAAAAACATGTTGTTTAACTCTGTGAATAGTTTTGTTTATACACCCCCATCAAAAGTAGTCCTTAAAGTTTCTAGCATTTCTTTCTTCTAGACCTCAATGTAGGATGAATAAGAGGAGGATCACAGATTGCAAAGCATCTTTAGTAATTTCTGTCCCATTGGTAGCCTCCATGAATAGCCTCAAAAGCATGTGATTCCTCCAAACTTTTGATCCTTTCACTTAGTGTTGAGGAGTTTGAACACTGGTGTAAATGACAAACGGTGTTTAGCAGTTATTGGAGTTTTAGGAGGGAAAAAAAAGTATTTATAAAGGGATTGGTAGGATCAATACATCTTTGATTGCACATCAGATGTGCTTTGTTTTATAAGTGAAATGAGGAATGGTTGATCTGCAAATTCAGCAAAAGCTCAGTCAAGCAGAAATGTTTCTAACACTCGTAAAATGTTTCAGTAAAAATTACTCTCCGAGAGACCTGTGCACTGTGTAGATATTGCCATGTGGAACTAAATAAACATTAGTTGGTTAATTTTCCTCTAATTTGCTGTGTGTTAGTCACTGTGTTACTACTGGTAGTTTATAATAGTAAGATACGTAATGAGGCATGAGTGACAATGAAAGTAAGCCCAGACTGCAGTGTCAACACGAGCAAAAAGACAAACAGTTCATTTTATAACAAGGAGACAAGACCAGTACACAGCAAGTTATCATTTGAGTAATACGACCACTTTCTGACAATATCCGTAAAGGATGTTTGTTTTTAAGTGATAGCCGGAAGCTGAGAAAGCGATAAAGGTGTATGGTTATCCAGCGCTGTGCCTGCTCTGTGTGTACCTTTGTTTCCTGGCTAAAGTTCTCTATTACACTGTCTTTGTAATTACAATCCCCAAATTAGACAAAATAACAAAATGAAATGTTTTTCTTTTCACTTCATTATCTAACTATTATAGTGGTTTCCTTTTTTGGGGGGGAGGCTCTCAATAGCATCCTTCTCCTTTGTTTAAAAAAAAAAAAAAAGATGCAGGACTTTGATATATCAAGTGATGACATTCTTTATGCTGTGCTTTGGAGTTAGATTCTTAGCTGGTTGGCAGTTGTTTTATCCATTTGATTTCCAGCACGAAGGCATAACTCTAGTTTGACTAAGTAGCCCTGTAATCCTGCCTGTGCTACAGGATGCTGCAAAGTATGTACTGCTAACTTGTTTTAATCACAGTTCTGGATTTGTCTGTCTTGCCTGCATGATTTGGCATGAAAAGCATCTGACCTTTATTATCTTATGAAGATAAGACTTATTTAACCTTCTCATCTAATCTTGGGGCCAGATGGAGAGCTGAAAGAGTTTTCAGGATAAACACATTACTGGGCTGATTGTGGTTAAATATTGGATTCTAATAGAAAGGACAGGGTGAATAAATAATGTACTACAATTTGCAATAGGCTCTTTGAAATTATTAATTTAAAAAAATGTAATTGTGGACGGTCTTCTCTGAGTCTTCAGCAACTGAATATGAGTTTCAGTAACTGCAAGGGTAATTATTGCGTTGTACAGTTCATCTGTGTGATACTAAAATGCTTATTTCAGTGCTATCCAGTGCACACTAAAATGTTGTGTACAAGACCTAACGCATCTGTGATCACGTACTTGAACTTTAAGTGGCCAGGAGCCACGCACCACTAAATATTTTACATGAAACTTGAAAAAAAAATCAGTTCTTAGCTAGAACAGAAATTGGTGACCTGAGAAAGGGAAAAAAATAAATAAATAGTATTTTATTACATATTTGACAAATATTTAACAAAATCTCTCTCTCTAGTTGTTCAGAGTGTCTCAGTTAAATGGGTGGTAACAAAAACTGTTGACATTCTGAATAAAACCTAGTTTTTTCAGTAGGTTTTTGTTTTAGCAAAGTACAGTTTTTGTCACCACACCCAATACGCCATTATCCGAATTTTCTAGGAAAAGGCATGAAGCCGTAAAGGCATATATTGATAACACAAATCAAGCACTAAAATCCTGGCTACATATAGGGAGTTTCATTAGTTTAAATAAACTCATCAAGTTTAACCAGAACAGGTGTGTATAAACAAAATGTAAATGAAGGTGAAAGTTAATACAAAAACTGCAAGGGAGTTCACAGCCTTAATTTGCAACACTGGTTCGAGGAGCCAGTTTAAGTTGAAAGAAGTAAATATGACAACATCAGTGCGTAGTGTGTGTATATGTATTTTCAGATTGGCAAAAGCAACCAGTGAAGAGGACGCTCACTTTTTCACCGAGTATTTTTAAAGGTTCCTTTACTTTTACAGTTCTGTTATATTAGTAATAATGAGTTTCTAAAACGCATTCTGCAATTCCATATTTGTTTTTTTAACTTCAGATTATGTTTGACACGAGTATTTTTTAATTTCAGAGACATTCTATAAGTGGACCAATCTCAGCTTCAAAACCGCTTGCTACACTAACAGACAAAAGACCAAGCTACGCTGAAATCCCAGTTCAAGGTATCGATTCAAGTTCATTCAAGCTTTGTTTTAAGCAACAGTATTAACACTTTTTAAAAAATTTATATTGTTTAGTATCCAGCATGTTATCATATCGTATACTTTTTATTATCAAAATACTTTCATAGAAACAGAATATCTTGTATTCAAGTTCTTATCACTTGTGTTTCATCACACGTGGTGTATCATAAAGATGCTGCTTTGAGTTTTTAACAAAGCCATGATTGTATGCTGATAACTTGGCATTATGCAGACACTTTTAGTGTTTGCATAAACTGAGATAACTTGCAAAATCAAGATAAGATTATTTCAGGGACATGTCTTGCAGCTGTCTTCCAGATATTAAAAATACATACCTCTGGGGTTACAGGGTTGGGGTTTTTTCTCCAAAATGAAACCAGGATGACAGTTGGCATTGCATTGCATGTGAATAACAAAATATAAACTTATGAAGTATTGAATCTTCAGGAGCCAGGTGAAAAATTGAATGGGATTGAGTGTTGATTTGTCTGTTTCCCAATATTTCCCTGTTCTGTGAACTTTGTGAACAGTGGTTTGAGAGACAAAACAATGTGCTCTTCCTGTGAGAATGAATGGCTATCATGTGTTGGGTGTAGTTCTCTGATTTATGCCTGCTTTAGGGGTTTTTTTAGGGGTTGGGTTTTTTTTAGATGTTTCTCAAGATAATACCCATATGACTCCAGGCTGAATATTTCCTCTCAATTTGATATTCCCGAGGTCTGATGCTTTCTAAAGGGTTGGGTTGGTGTTTTGTTTTTGGTTTTTTTTT